GCTGCTATTCTCTCTACCTTCATCCTTTACTATCTGTTTATGAGGTATACGTTCCAAAGGTGAAATACATGCTCAGAATAGCTGGCTAGCAGGTGTTAGGCTGGAAGGAAAGGAGAGGAAGGCACTGTACCATATTATTACTGACCTAGCCTGTAGAAATTAAAGGGCCTCTAGATGTTTCTTTACTAATACAGGAGACAGACTGCTTCTTACTGAAACCTGAACTTCTGCATCTTTAATCACCAGCTCTCAGTGTGAAAAAATTGGCATAAGTGGCCAGAATTCGTCCTTCTTCAACACGAAAAAGCCATTTTTTAAAAAAAATCTGCAGTCTTGCTCTAGCTGGGAAGTTTCCCCTACCCACAATCCCCATGCCTGGTTCTTAACTGCAGCTGAAAAATACTAGTGGAAAGAATTATCAGACCATGTTCAAGTCCTAATCTTGGCTCAGCTACATATAAGCAATATGACTTTGGGAAAGTCTCCTCATGTCTCTGAGGACTCATTCCTATCTTTATGCCACATCTCTTCCTAGCTGCAATGTTAAAGAGTTGGCAAAACAAAACAAAACAAAACAAAAAAAAACAACCTGGTGCTTAATTTGGGCCGATATCTGGCAGGCTGCTATCACCAGAACTATTTTCTCCTACGGTTCCATTGCCACTTGCAGTCATTCAGGAACAGCTCTCTTTGAAATTTCAGGCTCTCCTTGGTGGTACAAAACAAGGGAAAAGAAAAGATGTGAAAAAAGGAAAAAAATGGAAACAAAGTCTTTGTAAATAGGGAAGGGTGAAGGGGGTGAAGGGAGGGCAGGGATATGGGGAAAAATAAGAATCAAGACCTATCATGTATAGGCACAAGATCGCAATGATAAATGTAACTGTATTGTTTGCTTTAAATGTACCAATAAACTTAATGGGAAAAAAATAAGATGCTCAGTAAATGTCACCTTAGAAAAATGAAAAGGTAAGAGTGTTCCCATCAGAATCTGGCTTCATGTAAAATGTAAGAGTAGCCCCTGAGATGTCCAGAGTAGTAGCTTGCTCAGTCAGAGTTGTACAAGACTGGACTTGGATCTTACAATACTTTAAGGAGAAAAGAAAAGGAAGAGAAGTTCTCTTTTCTAAAATGCCTATGCAATGCCATCTGGTGAAGATCAGTTCCCTTGCTAAAGAGATTCCAGCTACATCTCTGTTTTTTTTCCCCTCAGGGATATAAATGCTTCATCAAACCCACATTTCAACCCCCAAACTGTTGTGTATGAAAAACCTAAGGAGGTAAATTTTCTTTTTATGTACCTAGAGATGAAGAGAGAAATTTGGTCTTAGGCTAATGCTACTATTACAAAAATAAACACAAAGAGAACTGGACCCAGACTTGACAAGAAAGTGCTTCATTGTAGTAGAGGATTTGCACTTTAGAATGCTATTATTGGGCTCAAAAGACTAGGCAGGGCTATTTTAATGGCTTCCGCCATTGAGGTGGGCATAAGGAGGGCAGAAGAACACTTACCTATCCCCATCACTTCTCATCTCATACTGGTAGTATTAGAAGTTGAGGGGACATCTCCAGGAATCTGCTGATTGCTGTGTGGGTCTGATGGCTTCCAAACAACTGTAACCAAGCCTGAAAGATCTATTTCATTTGTCTAACTTATTGGCCTTCTACCTCATTTTACAAAAGATTGGAAGGACGGGTTACAAAATCTGTTATGTGTTCTAAACTGTTGGCTTAAGGGTGAGACTTTTTCTGATTTATTTTCTCCATGTTGCATTAATTAGCTAGGGATTTGAGTTCTAATTATTTCAAGTTAGATGTGGAATACAGGGAGCCTTAAGCAAAATGTTTCTCCAGTGAATCTGCTTCAAGGATCCCAGGGCAGTCACTGCCTGGGAATGAAGCCTTAATTTGATGCTCTGTTGAAATCTTTGAGAGTGAATTAAGTCTCTTTGGCTTGGTTAAGTAAATTAAGTAGAATGACTTATGGAGCTGGCTGTTATTTAGCATAAGTGGCTCCTTTATATGGCTGTGGCTCAGGGCAGTGGGACCTGGGAGGAGGTATAGCAGCTCACCCAGAATTAGTCCTCATTGGTTCAATTTTTCTCTCCAAATTGTGTATGTTTGTGTGTGTGTGTGTGCATACACACTCACGCTTGAGCTTTGTGAGAGTTCAGACATGGTTTGCTCCCCTTTTGGGATCTGGAATCTTTCGTACATACCAAAGTGAGAGGGAGGGAAAGACTTACTAGCATGGAAATGTCATCACCAGATGTAAGATGTTAAACAAGTATTGTTTATTATAAAGAGATGTCAAAACAACAACAACAACAAAAGAAGTATGCTGGAGACTGGAGGAGCAAACACTAACAGTTTGGAGGAAGCCCTAGTATAACAAAGAAATTACCGCTACCAGTAAGCACAGCAGTATCAATAGCTCTTTCTACCAAGGGCCCCACACTCCTCAGAAATCCCATAGTGTTAGGAAGGAAAATAAAGAAGAGCCTGGATTTTAATCTTCTATCTGTTGTTTCCTGCTAGGCCACACTTTTAAAATGAGAGTCTTAAATTTTTACAAGATGCAGTTTCTTTACCAATGTTCTTCCAAAACTAATCTGACTATTCACCTCCTCCTAGGATTCTTAACTTGGTTCGGAGGCAGCCTGATTTGTAATCTTAGCTATTGGGAATGTGAATGGTCTGCCAGGCTCCTTTAGGATTTTAAAGGTAGTAGTATACCGAGTAAAGGATCCATGTCTCCACCAGATTTCCTAATTTACAGTGGACCCAATCTCATTTTGTGATGAAAGCCAGGCTTATATATCAATGACTGTAAATTGCAATTCCCTTTAGAAGGAAAACAACCTTTGTACATGATAGAAAAACATGCCCTAGGAGACACTTACTGTCTTTTATCTGGATTGCTTCATAATAGCTTTGTTCATTTCAAAGAATCCCTTTGTTGAAAATTATAACCCAATTACTTCATGCGAAATTTGATTTTTGATAAATTTTATTAGTGTGACCCACCTTTTCACTGTATGCACTAAGTTTTACCTTTGGATGAAGAAATCACATAATTGCTGTTAAAATATATTTTTAAAAAGAATTGGAAACACAAAGAAAGGTGATAAAATAAGGAAGCAGAAGAAACCATGCATCATGGTAGTGAGTTTGGAACCTTACAAGATAAAGGCAAGGTCCCCACCTTGTCCCTTCTAGCTGCAGTGAGACAAATAGCACTACAAGTTTAGAAAAATATATAAATCCTTTCAGGATAACATTTGTGCTACCAATGGTTACAATAAAAACAAAACAAAAAAAGGCCATCTGGCTTCCTATTTAGGCAGTCATCTATGGATGGCCAAAGGATTAGCTATCTACCACATCCAGTTACATACATTATTGTCATGAACAATAAAAAGATTTATGGTGCTCTAATGCACGTACAACTTTCAAGAGGATCCAAGATTCAATTTGTGGGGTGGCCATGGGTTGGATCCCTAGAACTGCTACAAAATAAAATGAAGCAGAAACAAAAACAAAAGGCCAATTTGTGGGACAGCATGTTTACCTTGGTAATGACTTAAGTGGTACCAGAATTGTATGAGTATGCCTTTTGGCACACTGATTCATTTGGTATTTCCTTCCTGACTTTGACTGCTTTGTGTACTCTGCTGCCTTGAACATAGGTGGCTTCTTTACAACAACATTTGAACAGTAATCATTTTAGAAGTGTTGGAGAGGGTGTAAGGTGCCAACTATAAGCATTAGGTGATGCCTGAAATCCTTGCTGGAACAAAGTATAAATAAAAAATATAAAAATGAGTATGGTAGCAGAGGTGCAGAATCCAGGAGTAGCTATAACTTACTTCTCTGATTGCTTTTGGATACTTAGCCAATTTATTTTCTAAGTCTTCCTCTCTGCCTCTCTTTTCCTCATCAATTCACATTATTTTCTCTCTGCTTCTATTGTTCCTTTGTCTCCTAATGGTCCTAAAGGTTCATGCCAACTGATTTTCTTTTTTATCTCATCCTCCATCCTAGATTGCCCCTTTTTTCCTTGCATTTGTGGCCAAATAGAAATGAGCATTTTGTGACAACAAATTAGCAGCAGCAGCAGCAACAACAACAACAACAGCAACCCACACAGAGAAAATCATGACAAAGCTAGAAAAAAATTTTTTCATATTTTGTCATTTGTACATTTTCTATTTTTAAATGGAAATTTTTATTATGAAAAGATTGTGATTTTATTTGGCTCACATCTAAACTTGTCCATTGCCTGTGAGCCCGGGAATCACAATAACACTAAAGCACAATAATGCAGTCTGCAATAGTTAACCAAGCCTCACTGGATGACTCCAGTATCAGAAGCTTTCTGCCATATCTGTGATTGATGACTTGCTTTGCTTGCTTCTGCATGGTGGCATTACTAGCTCAGTGGGATAGTGAGGATTGTGGTAGAGAGAAGCTAAAAAACCCTTGTTTTTTTATGACAAAAATAAATGTAAACTCAGGTATAAGAATTACTCCTTCTAAAAGGAGTTTATTGATTCTCTTCACAGCAGCTGTGTTAAGTCAGCAGCACAATCCCTGAAAAATCCTTTGTTGCCATTCTGGTAGTTTCTCCTTATGTGGTGCTATAATCCTTCAACAGTTTCTGCGCGGATAATTGAAAGACAAATGGGAAATATTTTTTATTACAGTAAAAAATTTGCTTCTAGGAGACTAAACTCCTTAAAGTCAAGCACTATAAAAGAATAAGTAATTCTACATGTTATACTCACTAACTGAAATGCAGAAAACAATTTTTATTACCAAAATAGGCAAATGAAAGTGAAAATCTTGATTCTGTTTTTTTAATATACCACCAGAAAGCAAACACAAAAGGGACTTAACATTTTTTTTATTTTCAGAGTAGTTTACATAAAAAACTATTAGTAAATTTCAATTGAACTCAAGAGAAACACTGGATAATGATATGCATTGACTTTACTTACTTTCTTGGGTGCCTCCAGTCTCAAGTGCTTACTCGCCCCAAACCAGATGATTAGAGTTAAGGCCAGGATACTGAACAGCAGTACACAAATCTTAAGTGATTTGCATATCTTCTTGGATTTAAACGTTTCTGCCTAAGCAAAGAACAGAGAAAGTGAAACAATACGCAATAACACTGAAAATAGCAAGCCATAATTCAAAGTCTCCTTTGGTTTCACTTTCTAGTGTTCATATCACAATAAAATAAATTCTTGAAACCATGCTTCTCCTCAAAAAGGAAAAAATATGAATCAACTTACATTTAGAATGTGACAGTCCTCACAGTTCTCTGGGCGGTTCTTTGCCATGTCTCTCAGCATACAGTGCTCTTCCCTGCTTTGAGAGGACTGAGAGATCACTGCTGAGGTCGAGTTGCAAGTGAGTCTGCTAACAGATGCCAGAGAAGTTGAATTTATATGGCTAAAATATGTCATACCAGAGCCTGAGGGAACCCAGAGGGCTCCTGTACTTTGATTTGTCACACAGATATATCCACTTCTGTATATAACTTCTGTGCACAGAATTTCATCCAGAATGAGAAAGACAGAATGTTATAATGAAGGGGCTCAAGCCTAGGACACATTAAAATGATTTTCCATTATGAACATAAAATATCAGTGGCAATACATGCTGCACTCATCAGAAATAAGCAAACAAAACAAAAAGGGAATGAAATTCTAATTTTAATTCCATTTAATTCAACAAATATTTACTATTAAAGGTATTAAATGTCAGGCTGTGCTTAGTAATGGAGATTCAGAAATGCATAGATAGGATCTTCTTCACTATATAAAAAATCCGTGATGATTGAAACTATTATGTACACAAGTAATTACAATTAAAAACAGGATAAAATAAAAACTAATTATAAGCTTCCTATCTTTATCTTATCTCTGATTATTTTTCTTTTTGAGTCCCTTTTCTCAATAGATCCCTCATGTTGATATTCATTACAGTCTGTCCTTGATGGCATTTTCAAGTTACATACATTTCTTAGATAATCTCATCCACTACTATAGTTTAAAATATCACTTGTATATTAATGGTCTCCAGATCTGTACTTGTAACAATGCTTAAAAATTCAAAGCCATTTGAGCATCTCTACCTGGCTGTACCTCAGGAATTTCAAACTCAACATTTTGTATATCAAACTCTTCTTTCAACACTTCCTTCCTGCAACTTACTTTATTTTCCATAATCTCAATTTTGATGGTGGCTATATTAGTTTTCTAGAGTTACCACAAAGAAGTATCACAGAGTCAGTGGCTTAAATAATAGAAATTTACACAGATATATATATTATATACATATGAATCTAACTATTGAGAGTCTGGAAGCCAGATGCCCAAGATCAAGATGTCAGCCAGGTTAATTTCTTTGGCCTCTCTCTTAGCATAATAAATGGACATTTTCATGTTCACATGGCTTTCTGCTGCTGTGTGTTTGTGACCTAAACTCATAAATGGACACTAGTCAGGTTGGTTAAGGGCCCATCTATATTTCAATTATTTCTTTGAAGGTCCTATTTCTAAACACAGTCAAATTCTGAAATACTGGGAGTCAAAGGTTCAACATATTAAATTTGACTGAATACAATTCAGGATTTAGCAGTGGAACAATCATCCGTTCTTCAAAAGTGAAGTTTGTATAAAAATCCTTACACTTTTTCACTATCCTTTTATCCAATAAAGTACCATGCTATCCATTCTAAATTCCTACTTCTTTCAGAGCTGTTCTTTCCTCATTTTGCTCATAGAAAAAGCCTTTGTTTAGGTTGTCATCCTCTATGACAAGTCTCAAATCCATAATTCTCACCTGAGCTACTCTCTCTGGGGCTTCATACCTATGTATTCATTTAACCTAGTAGATATCTCCACTTGCAGATACCAATACATGCCCCAAACTGAATTAGTTATATCCACGTACAGACATTTTCTTCCTGATGTATTACCTCTTTCATTAAATTACACAATGATCATTCTCAAGAAGAGAAACCTCCACGTAATCCTTGATTTCTTCTTTGCTTGTTCATACCCATATCTAGTTAGCTACTAAGTCTAGGAAATTCTGCCTCTGAGTTATCTACAATCTTATCCTCTGCATCTTCTATATTGCCTATTTGAGTGTCGATAGTCACTTTTACTGTTGCAAGAGAATTCATGCAATTTGCTTGCCTCTAATTCATTGTCTTCAAAGTAGTCTTTCTTAGACTCAAATCTGAGGGTAATTTCTCTGCTTAAACTCTTTAATGTCTGTTCATTGTCTGTCAAATCCAAAGCTCTTATGGTGTTATAGTAGTCACTTCATGGTCAGGACCTTATTTATCTCTATAGCCTTGATTTCAGATAATTTCTTTCAGAGATAGAGCCAACTAGGGGTCTCAGCTTGGCAGTTCAATGGGGCTTATATGTATGTCTCCATTTACACCTTCATGTCTCCAAGTAAAACAATTTTCTAACTGTTAAAAATGTTATTATACATGATATTAATTATATAAATTATGAAACACAAGTCATGAGTATATTTATTCTATAATTCTTTTTTAAAGAATATCATGAGAGCAGTGGAGTTGAAGAATCCTATGTTTACTTGGTCAGATAGTATCATTCAACAATGTTACACTATACCTCTAATGCCTAACTCACACTTTATATTCTTTTTTTATTCATTAATTTTATTGGTACATTTTAGATATACAATATGATGACATTCATCATTGGGAATTTGTACTTTTGCGTGATATATCTTGGTTCTTATTTTTCCCCATCCTCCTGCCCTCTCTTCAACCCCTCTGCCCCTCCCCTACTTACAAAGACTTTGTTTCCATTTTTTTCCTTTTCTCATATTATTTCTTTCCCTTCCTTCCTTTCCCCTACCCTTCCCACTTCCCTTTCCCCTTTGGACATTTTCTTCCTATTTCACATTGTCTATTATACATTTATTCTGGATGAATATATGATGCTTGTTCACATCATAGCTCATTTGAGTGGTTGAGGTTGGACCTAGGGCCTTTCCACTGAGTTACATCTCCTGCATATTTTTATTATTATTTTTTTAACCAGTGTCTTGCTAAGTTGCTGAAATTACCCAGGCTGGGATCCAACTTGCTTTCTTTATGCCTCAGCCTTCCAGACTGCTAGAATTATAAATGTGCACCACCACACCCCATTATACACCCCAGCTCATTATGTATGCTATACTCATTGTGTGGATTTCGCTTCCTCCCCATATTTACCTGAGAAATTTCCATTTAGCCCTGAACATTGTACTTAGATGTTACTATCTTTTGAAAACTTTCTTTGGTCTCACCTCTACTTCATTGAGATCATGACTTCTTCCTTGCTCCAATTTTTCATCTTGCTCACACTTCAATCATTGCATTTATTACACTGAATTATAAGTAAATTTCATATATTTCTTTCCTGAACAGACTTTCAATTTTTATAACATGCCTTCCTTGTTGGAAGGATTGAAATAAAATAAGGGTCAAAGCCATACACCATGGAAAAATTGAAGGAGGAAAGATGAATTCTGATTCAGAAGAGCAGGGAAAATGACACAAAGAATGTGGCATTTCAATAGGTTGTTAATTTATTAAATTGTATTTATTCAGTATTCCTTCTGGGGCAGTTACTGCTATAGGTACTAGATATTGTGTCTGCTGAATTTCAGAGTCTAATGAATGAAAGATATTAAACTAAAAGTGAAAAATCATGTAAATAAATAAAAACAGAAGTTATAAAATTTGCTAAGAAGGAATAGTGAAAACAGTCAGTTTGGACTGAATTTCTCAGGAAAGTTCATGCTTAAATTCAGAACTGAGTAATGAATAGGAGTTAGCTAGAGGAGAGTGCAGCAATGATTATTCCAGACAAAAGAAACAGTACATGAAATCACCCTGAAGTAGGAAAACAGGTGAAGCATTCAAAGAATAAGAAAGTCAGTGTAGCTGAGGAAGGTATTGCTTGAGATAAGGGTGAGAAGGTATGCCAGGGCCATGCCATCCAAAGTTGTATCTATTTTGGATGCTTGTAACAGAAACCAAGTAGTGGTGGTTTTCTTACATAACAAGAGTCTCAATGACAGCTGTCCAGGGCTAGTTCAGTGTAATGACCCATGCTTCTTTCTATTCTGTGTTCCTAAGACCATAGCTTACATCATCACCTTGTAAGATGTTGCTCGACTTCAGGGGAGAAAAAGGAGATGTCAAGGCACTAGCTGAGTTTACCCCTTTCCGTGAGTAAAGTAAGAGTTTTCCTGGAAGCACTATCTAGTAGATTTTTGCTTTTTAAAAATTAATTTATTTTATTGGTACATTTAAAGTATACAATGTAATGACATTCATCATTGGAAATTTGCACCTTTGCATAATCCATCTTGGTTCCTATTTTTTTCCTATTCCCCTGCCCTCGTTTCCACCCTTCCACCCCTCCCTATCTACAAAGACTTTGTTTCCATTTTTTTCTCATGTTAATTCCATTCCCATCTTATTCCCATCTTTCTTTTTGCACTTCCCCTTCCCCACTGCACCTTTTCTTCCTATTTCACATTATCTATTATACCATTTAGTCCTCATTTACACTTTCATTTTCTCACACTGGAGAAACTATTCAGTATATATACCTGTGAGTCCTATTTATATCATTTAAGAGTATTGCCTCAGTGTGTATCCATTTAGCTATAAATGTCTCTAATTTATTATTTTTTATGACCGAGTAGTATTACATTGTATAAAAAAACACATCTTCTTTATTCTGTCTCCTACTGATGGGCATTTGGGCTCCTTCCAAGTTTTAGCTATCACAAATTGTGTGCTGCTGTGAACATGGGTGCACATATATCACTGTAGTATGATGCTTTTAATTCTTTAGGGAAGATACCCAGAAGGGGAATAGCTCGGTCAAATGGGACCTCCAATCCTAGTACTTTGAGGTGCCTCCATTCTGATTTGCTCAGAGGTTGCACCAGTCTACACTCCCACCAGCAGTGGAGCAGGGTTCCTCTTTCCCCACAGCACTGCCAGCATTTGTTACTGATTGACTTCATGATAGCAGCCATTCTTTCTGGGGGTGAGGTGGAATCTCAGTGTTGCTTTCATTTGCATCTCTCAAATGACCAGCGATATTGAACATTTTTTCATAGGTTTATTTCCTATTTCTACTTCTTTATCTAACTAATGTCTGTTCATTTCAGATGCCCACTTTTTGATTGGGTCTTTAAATTTGGGAGGCCTGATTTCTTTAACTTTTTTATATATTCTAGACAGTAGACCTTTGTCTGAGGAACAGCTAGTTTAAATTTTTTCCCACAATGTGGGTTGGTCCTTTCTCTTGCTGTGCAGAAGCTTTTTAATGAGAAAACATCCC